TGGTAGGTTTAGTTTCTCATCCTGCTTTTCCACAGACTGTAAAGTACTGATACTTATGAACGTACCATTCTATGGTTTCGCATTCTCCTCTAGACTGATTACAATTCTACACACTTATGAGAAGTTTTGGCCACTTTTTAATGCGTGCGTGACTTCAGGCCTTAAATACTATTAAGTTAGTACTTTCTTAGCGATTTTGTAGTATATTGAGGTCAATATGTGGCAGTCTCTCCAGGTTTTCTTATTCGTGCTTCTCTATTAATACGTCTTTACAAATAGGCAACGGCGGTCCCCTTCCTTTTGCGTGAAATTTATTGTTAAGGTAGAAAGGTGCATAATGTCAAATTTTTGATTTCTCAGAATTAGATTGCACAAGCGTGCTCTCAAAAATTATGTGTACTTAGTCACAGACTGATTTTATTGCTCCATTTTGATAGCCTTTTCGATCATAACTTTGTGGAAATGTGTTTAAAAGTAGTCTGTCCTTTTAGTGTTGATTCATGTGCCGCTTTCTTTTGATTGGCTGAGGTTTTATACACCTTGTCAATAAAATATTTCTTTTTTATTCCCCCTACGTTTTATCGGTTTTCTAATATGCCTCCATTGTTGCATATTTTATATGGACCGTTAATGGGATAGATGTGAGCTATTTTAACTACTCCTTTTTAAGTTTGTGTCCTTAGGGCATTCTTCCTGAAAAAGGTACTACTAGGCTGCTGCTCTACATTGTTCTTCATATGTTGTTTCGGGCATTGGTACTTTCCAAAATTAGTTATGATTAATTTCAGCCTGTCATAAGCAGTTTAATAATGGCTTAGTTGTAACATTACCTTGGCCGTAGTTTCATGGCTGTATTTCCAAATACGATATCGTTTGGGACATTCTTCGCTTTTCATCCACTGATGTTTCTTTGCCTGCTGTGCTCTTATCCTATCCATTCACTTTCTTAGAATGACAGAGTAACTTGATTCCATCGAAGACGGGTTCTCCTGTCCCAAACTGCACAGGACTTTCCGTTGTTTTCATCCTCTGATGCTATCAAAGGGCCGAGTGATGATAACTTTGTCTAATAAAGCCACTTAGACCCAGGACAAAAAAGTTATTGATGGTTATAATTGTTCTTAGGTAATCACTTACATTTCCGAGTTATGAAATAATGTATAGGCCATGCTTTGTGATATGCAACTGTCAAAACTGCCTAATTTCATTTGAGCGTTCAAGCTCGAGGCTATCTATGAGCTGTCACCATGCATTATCGAGCTTCTAGCAGTGCAAGTCCAATTTTAGGTTTCTCATCTCACCAAACCGGTTTCTCTGAGCTTAAGCGAGCGCCATAAGTTCGGACATAGCCACATCCCTCTATGATGGCACTTGGAGACTAAGAACATCGACGTTTGAATTAATATAGATGTCTCCCTTTAATAACCAATGGATATTTTGTTCATTATCTGTTGTACCTTTTCCTTCGTAATTGTTCTCCGTTAGCATCGCAAACTCGAATCAGCACGCAAATGGGTGTGGTCAATGTACACCAAAATAAGTACTTTACTTTGAATGAAAGGAATAATTGCATGGTTTTTTCCGTCCTTTCTTAAGGAATATTGATAGTGCTTCTCGAAGTGTCACCTTTTACGTGAAATTTCAGTGGGTAAATCTTATTTAATTGTTATTAAGCAGGATCCTACTTTTATTTATGGCTTATAATCAGAAGATTTATTTGGACAATCGCTTTTAACCCAAAGAGATCACTGGGTGTTACTGAACGCAGGGGCTGAGACGCACGTTTTCAACAGCACCAATTATTGCTGTATTAGATAGTTTGCGTTTTATATTTATCTAGGCGACCACTCTCTCAACACAATCGCAGCCAGTCCAGTAGTGGCGCTCAAAACTCATCTGGACTCCCTCGCCAACGAATCGAAGAAACCCCTGACCAAACAGGCGCCGCATCATAAGAAGTCAGAGTCTTCCTTTCCTTCCACAAGCAATGGCGTCGTCTCGCGCTTCCGTCTGCGACAAAGTGGTGGTAGTGGTGGTGGCGGAAGCAAAAAGCGTCAACTGGAACGTCCACTTTCGCAAATTATTTGCCAACTAGACTCTGCTCTGCTTCTCAACAACTCACCCTCCTTTAGCGTGCAGCCAAGGTCAGAGGAGCGGCTTAGCGCTGTCGCACCTTCTTCTAACAGCCATTCTACTGTTACAGAGGAGGAAAATGATCCGGAATCTGATGATGTAATGGGCATCCCACGAGATATCGCTCAGTGCCTAGATGATATGGAGAATCCACCTGTCCCTCCTCTGAGGTATGTTGCTTCTCTCCTTTGGCTTGTTTACATGCATTCTGTTAGCCTCTGTGCGTCTAAATCAAGGCATTAATCTAGTTTTTAAATGCATTAAGACCATCTTACCATTGGCTTGCCTATTTAGTGGGAAGTAGGTTCGACCCTTGAAACGGAAAGGCGTGTTAATGGAGTTGAGCTGCATTCTGGTCAGATTTTGTTGAAAAGACAAGAGGTCGGTACTGTTTGGCTGTCCTCATATTTTACGAATAAATATCATTACTTTTTTTACTCTAACAAAGAAATTTAAAGTTTCGTATAAAGTCTCTCTGGGATTATGCGGCCATTTTTGATGCGACGAACAGGTGAAACAAGTGGTGGTACATTAGTGAATATTGTAGTGCAGTTGCCTCATTCTTCTACCACAATTGTTTTTTGCAACATTCTTAACGAACAAAAGCGAGGCGCGTAATTTATAAAGCTGAGAATTTTGAATCGATTTTTAAGTTCCTAGCAGGCGCCTTTTTTGAATGCTTTAATG